AAAAATATGTCAATTTGAGTTTCCATTAAATTTCTAATCTATGATCTTATGTTATGGGTACACATTTATTACAAAGACTAACGTGCCTAAAAAAGAAAAGAAAACCTCAGGAGGCTTAATTCAAAATGAAAGAAAACTATAGTCTAAAGAAAGAGTAAAGGAGGTATTCACTCAAAACCAGGGAAAATAATACTTTGGGAAAATGCAAAAGAGTAATTCTGCTTTTATTTATGGTTTTAATTATTTTTTACACATGGCTGATATAGCTATGAAATGCTGATAATGCTACAAAGGTGTGAGAAATTATATGTGAATATTGATCTCATAGTTGATAAAATATATAAAATATTGATTAACTGAAGCAGAAGGCCATTGTGAAATGTTTGTAAGTATTAAGTATCAAATTTATGGATGTTGCCAAGTCAAAGTTGTACATCCATGGTGGGACACTCATTGTAAATTTTGTTTAATGTTTAATGAGAGAAATAGCCAAGTATATAGTAAATAAAATCTGTCTAATTATCTTCCCAAGATTCTTCTATGCTTGAGTTATTTTATAGAAGTCTTATTACACTCACATTTACATTTCTTCTTGATATATATCTTCTCAAGGAACTAAAAAAAAAAAAAAGATGAGAGAATCTTCAATAGATTGCAAAGAAAAACTGTGCAGTCCTGCCCACAACCACTGCCACACCCAAATTCACAATCTCACACTCTGACATGTGTCCTTCTGGTACTCAAAATCTCATGTTGATAATTAAACCATGATAGGTGTTGGATTTTGGAAGGTAGTTGCGCAGCATCAAAAACAGCTAGATCTAATTCACACTTGTTCTGTGCCCAAGTCCAGCCCAGCCCGGCTCAGCACAGCCTTGGACTGCTCATCCTGCTATTAAAGGCCTGGGGCCCATCTGTGCAGCAGACAGAATGAAGCTGTGGGTGATGCATACAGTAGATAACCCAGCAGCAGATCCTGGAATGTGTACGTAAGTATGTATGCTCATGTAACATATAGGAATGCGTATATACACAGTGTACACAGACATTATGGGAGTAAAAAGAGAATGAATGTTCACACATAAATTTAAATAAGTAATGACTATATATATGCATATATGTATACAGTGTGTGTGTGCATATATATATGTGTGTACATATATATATATTTCATTTACTATAATAGATTCCCTCCTATCTTTTAGTTGAAATCTTACTGATAAAATAGAGGATATAGGATGTAAGAATAAAGAGAGAAAATATCCCAGGGTTTTGAGTGACAGGTATTCATTCTCAGAGGACTCAGCTGTAGCCAAGGGCATCATTCTCTTTAGTTAATGCAGCTAAAAGAGTACAGCCAGTGTCAGGCACGCTTCCTTTTGCCCAAAATTGAACTAAGTCTTCATCAACAGAATGAATTAAACCAACAGGAGACAAATCAAAATAAAAAAAAAATAGAACTATAAGTCATTATAACATCAAGAGCAAATAAGGATTACATATATATATCTCTCTTTGGCAAGAGTAATATCTATGTATATATATATATACACACACACACACATTTATATATACACATATATCACATTATTATATTTATACTTAAGTATATTGACATATATAATCATATATACAACTACACAGTCATATAAAAATATATAAGCATATTTTGTATATTATGCATATAAATATACTTATGTGACCCTTACATACAGATTGGGTAGTTACAAGTACATAAATGTGTATAGTATATTAAATATATCTAGCAGACCCACTATTGATGCTCAGAGCTAAAGGAGGAATTTCCTCCCAGTTCTGGAATGGAGTCTTCAGGCCCATCTCTCCCTCATACTCCAGACTTCCCCTCAAATTGCCTGATTTAACTCGGAGAGCAGTCTGGATCTGAGCTTGGTCAATAAATTTATTTGCCATCAAGTATAAGCTATTGCTAGTTCCGTCACTCTTTGGGGAAAAAAACCCCAGTATCACACTTCCAGGAACTTTAACCATCTTAGCTGCATGGCCTCCTAAAGACTCCGAGGGATGTGCGCACAGACTACTCTGGACAAACGCAAGACTTATTAGCTACAACTTTGGCCCCGTGCCCAGCTGGCTTCCTGCCATGGTGACAGGGCTGGTCTGGGCGCAGAACTTCCTTCTAAACCGTCCACTCTGCCAACCTCCACCCCACCCTTATTCGTCATGGTCTTCCCAGGGGGCCGCTCCATGTGGGAGGCAGCTGGGGCCAACTTTACAGGTTAAAGGAGGTGAAACTAGAAGGGAGAAAAGAGAAAGTGAGAAGAAGACAGAAGACACTGGTGGGCCCCTCAGGAAGTGAACTTTTGCCCTAGTCTGTGTCCGCATAAGACCGACCCCATAGTACAGGGATAACACTGTGAATCCCAACTCCATTTTGTTCTGACCCCAGCCACCGCTCTTTGTCCTTAGCTGTGGAAGTAAAGGAGACTTAAATACGTCCCAGAGAATCTGGAGGGTTTTAGTAGCAGCCAGAGTTCGCAGGCACATGCCCTGCACGTAGATCCCTTCACTTTGGTCCCTTTAAGGCCAAACCCAAGGCAGATGAGTCAGCAGCAAGGCAGCTCCTCTGACACAGCAGAAACCAAATAGGCAGAACAGCAACAGCAAAATGCCCGTGTCCTGTCTCTGGGCCCCTCTCTGGGGAAAACACGCCCTTCCTTCCAGGGGCCTGAGTCCTGGGGTAAGAGAAGTATTTTGATTTTGTCAGGGTGCTGACCCCTTCCATCAACAACTGTGAGCCCCTCAGCAGGTCTTTCTGAAATGACCCCGTACTCACACTCGGCATCTTGTAGCCCCTGCTTAGAACGAAATCCTTAAAGGCAACTGTTCCAGGAAGGTCTGCAAGTAACTCCTCCTGCAAGAGGGTCCACATTTTAAAACACCAGCCAGCAGCCAGCAGCTGGATTTCATACTTGTCCTCATTAAAAGCATTTGGCTCTTTATAAAGTACCTCATTTTAAACCACTTCCTTCTCATCTGGGAATATGATAGGTAACATTCACAAGTTGATGAATATAAAACCTTTCAAAAGATGTCCAATCGCTCTCCTTTCCCTATCCTTTCTCTTACCCTTGTGTTAAGGATAAGCAACACATTTTACCAATTAGATAATTATCGAGCTAGCATGTCTGGAATCTAACTTATTTAGGACTAACAATTATGATACTGTGATTTATAATAAGAAATATATGTTTGGTCTTCTTCCAGTTCCTGGCACAGAGCTCCTAAAACCCTTGGAATTTCCTAAGGATAAGAGCCACAAAGGTGAAAGGAGAGTCTATTGTTATTTATAACATACCCCTTCCAACCACACTGGAGATAATGTTAATGAGGTAAGTTTTGGAGAGTCCCTAGACAGCCACAAATGAGGGTGATTGCCCAAAGAACCATCCATGTGATTAGCGGGTTGGCACTTTCAGCTCTGCCCCCCAGCCTCCAGGCAGGAGACAGGAGCTGGAGGTTGAGCTAATCACCAAGGGCCAATGATTTAATCAATCATGCCTACATAATAAGGCCTCCCTAAAAACGGGGTTGGGGTTCAGAGAGCTTGCAGCTGGTGAACATGTGGAGGTGCTGGGAGGGTGGTGCCTGGAGAAGGCATGGAAGCTCCGAGCACCTTCCCACACACCTTGCCCTGTGCATCTCTTCCCTCTGGCTGTTCCTGAGTGTATCCTTTTATAACAACCTGGTGATCTGGTAAGTAAGCTGTTCTTCTGAGTTCTGTGAGCTGTCCCAGCAGATGATCCAACCCGAGGAGGTTGAGAGAACCCCCGATTTATAGTTAGTCGTTCAGGAGCACAGGTGACAACCTGGACTTGGAATTGCCATCTGAAGTGGGGACAGCCTTGTGGGACTGAGCTCTTACCCTGTGGGATCTGGCACTATCTCCAGGTAGATTGTGTCAAAATTGAGTTAAATTGTAGCACACTCAGCTAGTATCAGGAGAATCAGAGAACTACTTGGTGGGAGGAAAAAACCCTGACCCATCTGGTGACCAGAATTGAGAGTGGTAAAGGAAGAAACAGGAGTGTTTTTCCTACTCAATAATATATTCGCAATTTTTAGATCTTAACTCCAAAGGGCATGATAATCAAAAAGATTTGATGCAGTCCCAATATCTTCGGGGTATTCATGCATTCGTTTGGTTTTTTCTTTCATTTATTTGAATTAAAAAATTGGATGTATAAGTTTATATCATTGTTATTCAGTTCTTTTAAGACCATCTCACCTTCCAAACAAACTCAATCAAGAACAGTCAAAACTCATGTGTTCCCAGCAAGACAGCCATGTCCTCATAGTGACTGCCCCTTACCAGCACACCATGGCGCCTGTGTCCTGAGAACTGGGGTGCCATAGCCAAGTGGCATCCCCTAAAGTGCACGGGGTAAATCAATATTCAATATTTATAAAACAATTATATTGTTTTGAATCCTTCTTGTTCTAAACTGCCTAATAAACAATCTTTTACTGTAATAGTTATATCAACCGTATTTCCAAAATTTAAATATCACTTCTTTTTCATAAGCTGACTGTAGCCATTTTGGCAAAAATCTAAACTAACTTTCACCATCAAAACGAAATATTTTTGTAAAATGCTTTGTCTTTAAGAATTATTCTTTAAGGATATATTTCTAAAAAAATTCTAGATACATTAAAACAAACATTTTGGAGCCGGCTCAGTGGTGTAGTGGTTGGGTTCACATGTTCCACATTGGCGGCCTGGCGTTTGCAGGTTTGGATCCCAGGTAAGGACCGGGCAGCGCTTGTCAAGCCATGCTGTGGCAGCATCCCACATAAAATAGAGGAAGATTAGCACGGCTGTTAGCTCAGCGACAATCTTCCTCATGCAAAAAGAGGAAGATTGGTAACAGATGTTAGCTCAGCAACAATCTTCCTCACACACACAAAAAATTATGTAACTATTTTTGTTATTAAATATTTAATTTATTGAGAATGTTGTATTTTTTAAAATGCAACTGGAATAGTTTCTTATGTATTAAATTCACATAAATTTAGATAGGCAGCCCCTAAAACTATACACCAAGAAATTCTGCTGAGTATTATTGACATTATTTTGAGGCTTATATATAGGCATCTTGTACTCACAAATTTGTGTCATGTCTCACATCTGAAAATAAGAATTTCATACCCGGTAGTAGAATAGATAAAAATGACCATCCTTTCTGTCTCAGTTTTCCAGTCTAATTTCCAGAGGCAATTAATGAGTGGTTTCTGAGTGAATGAGTAGACACATTTGTAAAGCATTTTACTTTTTTTCGTTTTCTTTTGTTTTTGCTGAGGAAGATTCATCCTGAGCTAACATCTGTTGCCAATCTTCCTCTCTTTTTCTTTTTCACGTGAGCTGCTGCCTACAAACAAGTGGTAAAGGTCTGTGCCTGCAAATAAAACCCAGGCCACCGAAGCAGAGCATGCTGAACTTAACCACTGAGCCACCCGGGCTGGCCCTGCATTTTACTTTTTTGAAGTATTTTGATGTCGTTATCTGGGAGAAGTTTGGGATCTGTTGAAAAAGAGAAGAGGCCCACCGATATTCTCTTCAGAGTCCTGTGCAAGTGTTGCGTCAATATTTCCAAATTTCCGGGACTACCATGAGTATCTTCTCTTCATTGGGTACTGGTACACAAGAGGTGGGCAAGCACAGAGTTTATTTGCAGTGAAATTAGAGCACACCCTTGTTGTGCATGTTTGTTGCTTTGTGATATCAAACAGTGCTTAACCTTTGCCCCTTTCCTCTCAGATAGATCCTACAACTCTGCTAACTGCATAAAAGAAGTTTCCTGATTGCACTTTTGAATTCTTTAACATTCATCCATTGCTGATAAAAAGCAAGCCTCACATATAGTAACTCAGAGAGAACCCGTGACATGATATCCATTCTGTACTGAGGTGGTCCTGCCAGGTTACACCAGCCTTTGAACAATTTATCCATGGAATCAAGAATGGCAGGAGGACAAGGAAGGGTTGCCCCATCTTTAGAGACATTGTGCCCACCATGAAGCCAGGAAATTTCAAGTCTTGCTTATTACATATACCCCCTATAATGACCTGGCTTTCTCATTTCTGAATTTTATATGCAAGCTGTAAGACTTCTGGAAGCCTCTGTATTACCCCAGAGACTCTGCCTTCAATCCGAAGTGGCAGAAGCACTGTGATAATGTTTAGTTCAGATGACCAAATCTCAGCATACACACATACCTGTTCCTGCAGCTCCTTTTTAAAATTCTCATCTTGACCTTTATGTGAGACCTTGGGGTCAACCAAAGGTTCATCTGCTCTTTGCTTTTTCCACAACTTGGTGTTCAGATACCACGCTCCATACCTCATCTTCACCCTTTTTGGTTTATAAGGATTCTATAGAAAGTAACATAATTCACAATTTTATTAGTTGTTTTTTATTTTTTTTGGTTTGTCATTTCAATAAATCTAAGATTTAGCTTATGGAAGTAGTATCATTTATTTTTGATTTATCGTTAACCCTTGCCAAAGTATTTTATGAAGTTTCAGTATTCTTTGATTTACAAAGGTAACAGGAAAGTTCATGATTGAAAAAATAATGCGGTGGTTGAGCATGGCCATAAGATTTAGACAAAGCTAGGTTCAAATCTAGGCTCCCCAACTTAGTAGCCATGAATCCATGTCCATATTCAAGTTACTTAAATTCTTCATCTGTACAATGGAGATAATAGTACCCATCCCATAGGGTTGTTGGGAAGATTAAAAGGGAAAATTACATGAAGCAGCTGAAATTCATGTAAAAATCACACATTTCACCAAAGGGTAATGATCTCAAACAATACTCAGTTAACCAAATAAGAAGCTATCAGCTTTACCATGAGCCCAGTACTGTGCTCAGCCTTGTAAACACCACACTACTTCTGATCCAAATGCTATTCAGGGGCCAGCCCGGTGGCTCAGTGGTTAAGTTCGCAAGAGTTTGCAAGACACTGGACATCAAAACCCCACAATTGCCCGAGCTCACGGCCTTGAGAGAGTTTCCAGGCCACAGCGCAGGGAGGAGCCCAGGAGGAACCCAGTGGACTCTGAGTTGAGGAGACAGAATCATGAGTCCAGGAAGACCAAAGCAGCTATGGTTTGCAGCACAGAGGAACAGAAAGGAGAGAGATGCACAGAGAGGGAACGGCAGAGATTTGCACAGTCTCTCTCTGAGCATGTGTGGGAAGAAATTGCCCGAGGTCCGGGAAAGGGATCAGAGGAAACAGTGCTTAGCACGCACACAGGGCCAGCGACAGCACCCACCCCCTCCTGGGAAACCTGAAGATTCACAGGACACTGGATAGAATATACAGAAGGGTCTTGCCTCAGTAGTGGGGAATTAGCCCTAGCCTGAACATTACTTTGGTCCTGCCCAACAGATCTTAAAAGCAAGATCCAAAAAGATGAAACTTTTCCAAGTAACTTTAACTACATCCCAGGACAAAACTTAAGTTTATAGGAATCCAAAATTCACACAGTCTGGCATCTACTCAAAAATCACCAGGCAGACAGAGAGGCAAGAAAACACAATCCACAACAAGGAGATAAATCAGTTAATGGAAACTCACAAAGGACTGACACAGATGTTAGAATTAGCAGATGAGAACACCAAAACAGTTACAACTGTATTCCATATGTTCAAAAGATTAAGTAGAGACATGGAAAATATTTTTTTTAAAACCCTCGTCAAACTTCTTGAGATGAAAATTATAATGTGTGAGATGTATGATGTATGAGATGAAAAACACAGTGGATGGGATTAAGAGCAGATTAGACATTACAGAACAAAAGGTTAGAGAATTTAAAGACAGAGCAATAAAAACACAGACAAGAGAGAATCAAAACACTGAACCAAGCAGTAGTGAGCTGTACCACAACTTCACGCAGCCTAATTACATGCAATTTAGAGTCCTGGGAGGGCGGTGAGAGACCTAAAAATATTTGAAGAAATAATGGTAAAAAAATTTCCAAATTTGATGAAAACTATAAACCCGTGGATCAAAGTGGCTCAGCAAGCCCCAAGCACAAAAAAATGAAGAAATAGATACCAAGCTGTGTAACACTCACACTACTCAAAACCGGTGACAAAGAGAAAATCTTAAAAACAGCCAAGGGAAAAAACATGTCCAGAAAAACAGAGATAAAGATAACTTATCTTGGATGATAGGGATAGGATGATAAGGATAAGATTTCTTCTCAGAAAAAACACAGCCAAGAGGATAGCAGAACAGTATCTTTCAAGTACTGAAAACAAACAAACAAAAAACATAGAATTCTATAGCCACAAAAATATCTTTAAAAAAGAAGGCAGAATAAGGCTATTTTCCGACACAGAAGCTGAAAGACTTCATCACCAGCAGCTCTAGCCCAGAAGACCTGTTAAAGGAAGGCCTTCAGGCAGAAGGGAAATGACACCATGTGGAAATGTACCTGAACTTTTGCATAGTGACCCTCTGTCTGCCAGTCAAAAGTTCGACATTGGCAATAACCACCATGGTTTATGAGCAGTGCTTGTGCAATTATTTGTAAGTACAGGGAATTGGGCAATTTGATCAGCCCGGATTCAGGTCAAGCAGTGGTTCAGGCCTCAGTTGTGATGGACATAATTTGCCTGTACAGCATGATTTTGCATTTTACCCTTTAGAAAGGTGAGAGGAAAATGGAAAATTTAAAAGGCTGATATTAGTGATGCAACCCATAGTTTTCATAAACTTTATGCAAGAGAGTCAAGGATAGAAAATATCATGTATGTAAAAACAGGTCAGCTGATTGTGTTAAATTATAAAGGACAAAGTTAATATGTCCAAAATATTGGAAATAGAGTATCAAAGATTATGTATAAAAGACAGAGGATGATTAGAGATAATATATTGTTTTTCACTTTCAGAGAGAAAGGAACTCTCTCCAGCCTCCAACTCTCCCTGAGGCACTTAAGTCTGTTGTTGGACTGACACGATTTGACTTGTGTTTATATATATCTGCAGTAACACATTGTGTAGCAAAGTACTTAGGGGCCCACAGGACTTCCCTTTGGAACATAGCTGTTTTTTCTCTTCTCTGTTTCCTCTTCTTCTGTAGTCACAGGAAATTGGTACTGGGAAACTGAGTGATTTGTTAATGATCAGGCAAGCATGTGGTCAAGAATGATAGCTTGTGGTCAAAAAGACTCCCGTAAAAATTCAAGAATTCTTTGGACATAAAATAAACAGTGTTCACAATCACTAATTGCAGCAATTTACTCTTGCAATAATCAACATTCCTGTATATTTCCACTGACAGTTAAGATTTCAACACATAAAACACATAAAGAGAATTTCAACACATGTATAAAATGCATGGAGAACAACAATGACTTTTCAGATATTAACGATAATGCTGAATGACATGCCTTGTTTGTAAAACTGACTTTGTTATATGTATTAAATATTCACTCATTTAACAAATATTTATTACACATCATAAAAAATTCAAGAACTCTACTGAAAAAGGCCAGTTCCCCCTGAATTAGCAGAATTCAAGAACATTTAAGCTTTTAATACAACTTAATTTTCCTTGATTTTCAGTCTTCTTTTTTGCAATTACCTGAGGTTTCTGGAGTTTCTGCTCATAGCCTAGTTTCTGGAAAATGTGTGCCTCCTGCAGTTTGTCTAGCCCCACACTCTTCTTTAGCTCCAGGGGAACCCGGCTGAGTCTCATCGCGTGGAGCTCGTCGTAGCTGGGTTTGCTCTGATAGTCAACGTCAAACTGTCTCAGGACAAACTCTTCATCAATGTTCGAACTTCCCTGGAAGAATATTGCATTGCATGAGCAAGGTCAAACGGTGAAATGCTCTCTGCTTTCTTCTTTAAACTAAGGGAGGTACCTGACCATGGCTGGTGAAGAGGTAGTTTGGAGGAGAGGCAGGAAATGCTCAGTCAGCACTCACTGAAGACAAGAATATTTGGGGTCTGGAGGGCCTTGTCAGTGCATTAAGAGACAACTTAGGACCTGCAAGAAGCAGTGAGTTCCTGAGGGAAATAACGGGGCTGAGGAAAATTCAGTCTGTTTGACCATGAGAAGAAATTTTCACCTATTGAGGTACGTGGGGTTCCTATTCTGGTTTAAACCTAATTCAGCCTGAGCTAAAGAAGCCTGACTTGTAGACTGTCAAACATACGCTGCACATTGGCTTTAACCACTAAAGTAAAGAATGTGCTGAACATCATCGGAAAGTAAAGAATGCACTGTTTGAAGATAAGCGCGCCTACTTCCTTTCCTACCCAACCAGCGTTGGTAACACCAGTATCGGCACCCCTGAGAAGTTCCCTTTCCCAGACGTCAGGGTCATGTTGACCTGCTAGTCTGCAACTGAATATCTCTTTGAAACTTCAATGAATTTGTATCCTGGGCATGTTTGATGTATGTTCTTTGTTCTAAAAATGTATAAAACTGTACTGAAAACCGTGCTTCTCCAGAACCCTTTCTTCCTTTGTGGAGACTGCCTTCCTGGGCTAGTCCTCAGCTTGGCTCAAGTAAATCTCACCTTCTCTCTCTTATCTTTAGAATGGTTGTTGGTTATTTGCATCAATAACCAAAAAGAAACTTTTCCAACACTTTTATAGCAGTGACAGCCCTAGAGATATTTTCCAGACATGTCTAGAAATGTCAGTGTTTGTTCTGCCCATCGCCCCTTATAAAGGAAGCTGCCCCATTCAGGGCTCCTGCTAAAGAAGGTGGTTTTAGTCAGCCATGTTTTGTGCACAGAACAACCCCCTCTACTCCTTCCCTCAGCCACAGCTGATGGGAGTAGAGATGGGCACGTCAAGAGCAGCTAATCCATAGGCTGGCCATTGACCTAGGATGTGGCTAAAAGATAACTTAGACCTGAAGAGTAGCAGAATATGCCACCCCAAAATATGCCTCTGGCATAAGGATTATTTTGAGAAACAGACTAAATCATTAAGAAACTCTTATCAACGGAGAAGGAACTGATTTAAATCCACATAACAAATGGTACTCTTGTTTACCTACCTTTCCTGGTCACCTCCCCATAACTGGCTCCCCCCACCCTTCTCTCTTTTGTCTTTGGCTGAAGATGGTATTTAAGCCTAAATTTTAAGTCACCTTAGAGAGTTCCTCATTTTTTCCTGGGCATCTCCCACACATACACGAGGTATACATGTTAATAAAGTTCTGTTTGTTTTTCTGTTGTTAATCTGTCTTTTGTTATAGGGCCCCAGAGAGAACTTAGAAGAGTAGAAGGACGATTATTTTTTCCTCCCCTACAGACTCAACACAATCCCACTTTGGAAAAATACAACCTGGGGAACACAGGGAGAATGAGGCCTTTAGCGACTGAAGCTGATACTGTAGTGAACTTTATAGAGAGGAGCCATGAAATAGAGTCAGGAGCATGAAGGGAGGAATAGAGTCGAAGCTAGGCAGAAATAATAATGAAGCCAAAATAGAGCAAGCAGAATCAATGAGGTGAAAAATAAACAGCATGGAAGGCAAGTAAAGCTAGTGCAACAGAGGAAATCCAACAGCGTGGTGTGATAGGGAGTGAGGTAAGATAATGAGGTAAACGTGGGACCTTGGTCAAAAGGGACTGAAAATAAGGCTGGTCACCAGAGCAGGTAAACTATTATCCTAGGGTTCCTTAAATTTCCTGCCTAGACAGAGCAGTCTCCAGTAGTAGGAATGGGAGAAGTGGAGGGCTGGGATTCAGGCAATCCAATCCAACCAGATTATGGACAAGCAGTGGTAAAGAGGGCATCACCTGCCTTGGCCAGCATCCCTGCCCCAAGCACCCTCTGAGGAACTTCCCTCCCCCACTCTCAGCCAATCTGTTGCAGCTGGGCTGGACACACCCATCTCTTGGCTTTCAGAATTAGACACGAGACCTCGCCTAGCCAATGAGCATCTTTTATCTCTCTACTCATCATGGATGATTCAGGCACAGGCACTTTACCCAGGTTAGCCCAGCAAGAGTAAGGCCCGGACTTTTCCCTACTGGAAAAGGGTTGCTCTTTTCCCACTTAGTTTGCTACCTAGTAGGCTGTAAGCCTGGAAATTTTACTGGCTACTTTTGGCATCTCTTGGGGAAAGACTGCTAGAAAATAGAGTCAGATAGGGGAGAGCAACCAAGAGCTAGGGAAGACACCTAAAAACATTTTAGCACTTAGATTCAGCTGTACCTGAAGCTCCTAATACCTCTGGATAGTTCCCTTTTCTACCTTAATCCAGTCTGAATTATATTTCAGTTACTTGCCAATGAAATAGTCCTAAATAATACATTGACTGAAACTGCCTAATGCACTCAAAAAATGGGGGAGGGGGATTGCAAATCCCTGAAAGTCTTAAATAGAGGAAAAGCCTCTTTTCCTAGACATCATCAGGAATATGTAACTCAGGAACAGGAATGGGTAACTAAATAGGTTCTTGGAAGGAGGGCAAGAAAAGACCTTGATAATTGAGTCAAAAGTCTATTCATGTCAGAAATACTTTTTGTAAAGGTTCTAGTCAAGCATAGCTGCCCAAAAACTTATAAATATAATTGAGAAAAAAAGAGTTTAAGAAGGAGTGAAGGACAGAAAGAAAAGAAGGTCCTGACATTGAAAAGGAAAATAGAAATGTGAAATAACAGGTGGGGGAAATGGGGAGATTTTGGCCAAAGGGTACAAACTTTTAGTTGTAAGATGAGTAAGTCGTGGGGATGTAATGTACAGCACGGTGACTACAGTTAATAATCCTGTATTGTATAGTTGAAAGGTGCTAAGAGACTCGATCTTAAATGTTCTCACCACAAAAAAAAAACGGTAATTATGTGAGATGATGGATGCATTAACTAATCCTATTGTGGTAATCATTTTGCAATATATACATGCATTAAATCATCACGTTGTTCACCTAACACTTACACAATGTTATATGTCAATTATATTTCAGTAAAGCTGGGGAACAAAAGAGAGCCACTAAAAAAAATATGAAACAACAGCAAAGACATGAGATATCAAAAATAAACATTCCAATTGGCTGCAAGTTTGCAAACTTTCCAGAAATTTCATCTACAAGAACTATTTCTATTATAAGTGGTGGGAGAGTCATGAAGATCCCTTTATGACTTTGATTATTTGAGTTCAATTATATCCAAACACTGCTTTTTAATAAAAGCAACTTTGAACATGACTTTAAAAAGTAGGTTGTAGGGGCCAGCCCCGTGTCCGAGTGGTTAAGTTTTCGCACTCTGCTGCGGCGGCCCAGGGTTTCGCTGGTTCGGATCCTGGGCGCAGACATGGCACCGGTCATCAGGTCACGCTGAGGCGGCATCCCACATGCCACAACTAGAAGGACTCACAACTAAAAATACACAACTATGTACCAGGGGGCTTTGGGAGAAAAAGGAAAAATAAAATCTTTAAAAATAAATAAATATAAATAAATAAAAAGTACGTTGTAAGTACTACTACTAACTTACAAAAGTCGTAGCCCAGTTGCAGAAGTCACTAACTCCTCTGCGTACATTTTCATGAAGAACAGGACCATCTTCATGGAGCAAATCTGCTTCATTTGGCTTCTTTTCTTCATAATGCCATTGGCCTGCATATGACACAGGCATCTTCCTGGGACTAAAGATAAGGAGACCATCGAAGAATGACAATATGAGATACCATGAGTCCAAGTGGATTTCAAACAGGATCTTGAGGAAAGGAGATCATAATGCAAGTATTTCTAGCAGTCTCTTGCAAGTTCATACAAGTTATACGTTAATTTTTCAAAGATCACCTTATTATCACCATCATAAAGAAAAGTACATCATGATTAGTTATAACAATTAAAACTTACATAGCAGTTTATCATCATAAATTGATTTTTTAAAATTATGAGTACCATTTATTAAGATGTGTGCCAGATAAAAACCCAAATTACTGTGCCTGGAGTCGGCTGAAGCCTTAGACAATCTTGACAAGTAGGAGACATCCTTGACTTCCCTTTCCCTCATCTCTCAAATCCAGCCCAGTAATAAGTCTGGTAGATTTTAACTCTGTCTCCATCTTTGGAGTGTTGTAAGAGGGTCCTCGCTAATGTCTCTGCATCTTCTCTTAGGGTCCCTGACCCACGCTCTAGACTGCAGCCAAAACAGTCATTTCAAAACATAAATCTGGTCATTGCAAATGCAGTCACCTCTCATCTTGATTCAGTCTCTTCAAGGCTTCTTTTTAAAAATTAAGATATAATTCACACACCGTAATACTTACCATTTCAAAGCGTACAATTCAGTGGCTTTCATATCTTTACAAAGTTGTACAACCACCGACACTATCTAATTCTGGAATATCTTCATCACTACAAAAAGACACCTCATAACCATTGACAGTCACTCCTCATTGCCCCCATTCTCCCTGCTCCTGAAAACCACTGATCTCCTTTCTGTCTCTATGGATTTGCCTGTACTGGACATTTTATCTGAATGAAACCATAGAATATATGGTCTTTTGTGTCTGACTTCTTTCACTTAGCATAATGTTTTTAAGGTTCATACGTATTGTAGCATGTATCATGAGCTTATTCTTGTTTATGGCTAATATTCCATTGCATGGATGGACCACATTTTGTTTATCCATCATCAGTTGATGGACATTTTGGTTGTTGCCACTTTTTAGCTACCACGAATAACGCTGCTATGGACATTCGGGCACAAGTTTTTGTGTCCAATAGCTTCGTGTTATTCCTCCTATAAAGACCTAACTTTTAACTCAGTTTCCAAGGCTCTTCACGGCCTGGTCTTTGCCTGTCTCTCCAGATTCTTCTGGAACTACCACCCTCCCTCACTCTCTGAGCTCCAGCCATCAGGGCTTCTTTCAGCTCCATGACATCATCATGCTCCCTCCAGTCACAGGGCCTTTGCTCATGTTATTCTGTCTGACTGCAATGCCTTCTCCAGGCCCTCATCCCTCTTCATGTCTCAACATACCGTCCCTTCCTCAGGGAGGCATTCCCACAAGCTGTCTCAGAACCTATATTTTATTCATAGCACCTTTTACCTTTTACTCATAGCACCCACACATTAATTCACCCATCCATTCATTCAATAAATATTTATTAAGCACCAACTATGTACCAGGCACTGTTCTAGGCATTAAGATTCAGTTATAAATAATGGTAAGACCTCGGACTCATAGAGCTTCCAGTTGAGTAGGGAGAGACAGATAGAAAAGAGGTAAACAAACATATACCAGGTGGTTACAGTGACATACAGAAAAATAAAACAGGGCAAGAGGGATGGAGAGTGATGACGGGGACTTTTTATTTATACAGAGAAGACCTTCCTACTAAAGTAATATTTGAGCAGAAACTCAAAAGAAGAAAGGGATCAAACCATGCAGATATCAAACTGTGCAGATACCAGGCAGAAAAGAATAACATGTGCAAAGGCCCTGAGGTGGGAGTACACAGAGCATGTTCAAGGAACACCAGAGAGGCAAGTGTGACTGGAGAGGAATGATTCAAGGATAGAGCAGTAGAGGATGAGGCCTGAGAGGTAATGGGGACCTGATCATATGGGACTTTAGAGGCAATTGAAGGACTTTGGATTTTACTCTGAATAAGTAGCAACTGGAGAATTTTGAGCACAGGAAGGAATGACACTATATGACTTAAGTTTTTAAAAGAATCATTTTAGTTATTGTTTGACAAATAGACTTGGGGAGGGGAGGGGAGCATGGGTGGAGGCCATGAGACCAGTTAGTAAGCGATTGCCATTATCCAGGCAAGAGATGATAGTCCTGGAATAGAGAAGGTAAGATTCTGTATATATTTCAGTGGTAAAGCCATTAAGATTTGTGGGCAGATTACAACTATTGTTCCAGAAGCAACTAAAAGAATGGAGCTGCTATTACTTACCTGGGGAAGACAGAAGAGGGAGTAGGTTTGGGGAAGAAACCTAGAGTTCACTTTTGGACGTGTCGAGTCTAAGATGCCAATTAAACATCCAAGGGCAAATGGTGAACATCCATAGACAGATGGACTGGATGAGATCACCTGAGTGTGAATAAACTTACAGAAAAGAAGATATCAGGGACTGAAGCCCTTCAAGGTTAAAAGGAAGGTGAGGAGGGACCAGCAGAAGAAGAGTGGGGAGAGGGCCATGAAGCAGGAGGAGAACCAAGAAAGAGGGATGTTCCAGACGCTAAGTGAAAAAGGGTTTCGAGAAAGAGGACGTCATCAATTGTAGCAACTGCTACTGATGCGTCATACGTCATTGGTGATCATTGAGAACTGATTATGTAACATAGAGGTCAATGGTGACCTTGACCAGAGACAGATCCAGTGAAATGCTGGAGATAAGAGCCTGATTGCTGTGAGTTCCAGAAATAATAGAAGAAGTGAGTGTGAACACCTCTTTCAAGGAGTTTTGCTCTAAAGGAAACAGAGACTATGTAGTCAAGAAAAGTTGTTTTAACGATGGGAGATATTACTTCATGCTGTGGCAGGCTGATAAGGTGCCCCAAAGAGATTAGATGCTAATTCTGGGAACCTGCAAATGTTACTTCATTTAGAAAAAGTCTTTACAAATGTGATTAGGTTAAAGAGCTTGAGATGGAGAGATTATCCTGGACTATCTGTGTGGGCCCTAAATGCCATCCCAAGTGTCCTTATACAAAAGAGAGGGAGGGGCCTGACCAGTGTCACAGCAGTTAAGTTCAAACGTTCCGCTTTGGCTGCCTGGGGTTCTCAGGTTCAGATCCCGGGTGCGGACATGGCACTGCTTGGCAAAAAGCCATGCTGCAGTAGGCGTCCCACATATAAAGTAGAGGAAGATGGGCATGGATGTTAGCTCAGGGCCAGTCTTCCTCAGCAAAAAGAGGAGGATTGGCAGTAGTTAGCTCAGGGCTAATCTTCCTCAAAACAAAAAAAAAGAGAGAGGGAGATTTGACACATACATAGAGAAGGCACTATGAAGACAGAGCAGAGAGAGATTCAGAGATGCTGGCCTTGAAGACTAGAGTGATGTGGCCACAAGCCAATGAATGTCAGCAGCCACCAGGAGCTGGAAGAAGCAAGGAAAGGAGGCTTCCCTAGAGCCTCTGCAGGGAATATGGCTCAGCCAACATTTTGATTTCAGACTTCCGGCCTCCAGAACTGTGAGATAATAAATGCCTGTTGTTTTAAGCCACGAAGTTTGTGTTACTTTGTAGAGCAGCCACAGAAACAAAGACATATGCTGACAGAAAAATTTGCCATTGTGTAATTATACATTTATTTTGTGATATGATAATTTATTAAGATATTAATTTTGTTAATTCCTTACATACTTTTCCTGCCCCTTTTAAGTAGATAACCCATCCGTTTTTAATTTTTTGCCCTGGAGATTTTTGAAGGGTTAACCAAGGAAACTGCCTAAAGTGGAAGGCACATCCTATATTGTTTCTATGAAAATTAAGCCTATTGCTTTGAAAAAGTTCAAGGAAGGTGGCATTACTGGTGTGATTTATGCAAAAAAGATGTTTGAGAATGCAAAGCAGCAGATCCATACTCAAAAAAAAGCTTTATATTAACAGACTTGGAAGTGAATGAACAGTTATGTTCCAGGGTAAAATAAAATCTTTCAAGCACTTACGTGTCATCTTTTGCAATTCCCTGTATTAAACTTTTTTGGGGTTTTTTTTTTTTTTTTTTTGGTTATCCAACCAACTACCTGTCCCAATCATGTTGAATAAAGCGGCTTCTTCCATAAATAATTCAAAAAGCCATTCGGGGCCAACAACCAGCCTTTCCGCGGTCTTCCTCTTGTCCCTCAGCTCTCCTAGAGTCATGTAGGCTCACCTGCGTTTGCTCCGTGTTTGATGGAATTCACATCCACTAATGAAATAAACACTATTCAGAGCAGGACCCAAGGCTCCTTTCCCTCTTCCTGGGGAACTTAGTTACTTTTGTTCTCTAAATTATTCTAAAGACGAGGAGCTTTGAGAAAGTACCTCCTAGAATGTTTCATCAGGTGACAGGAACAAGCGAGGGGTTAAGAACAATACTTACGGTCCCACATAGACTTGGGTGGAGCGTTTTTTTAAAAGTTTTGTGGGTTCCTTCACTCTTTTCCTGATGCCCTGACAATAAGCCCAGGCGTCCTCCAACTTCCTGTCAGGATCCAGCACTTCCAGCACCTTTAATAAGAGCTACAAAAAGAAAATGGACTTGGAGGGGAGAAAACGTGCTGAAAAGGGAGCATGTTAATTCTAAAAAGGAACAGACCAACTCGCCCTTTGCTTTTCCTTCCCAGTCAGTCAATGCTGTTCGTCAGTTCCCATGCAAGTACCGCGCTGGCTGCTGTGGGTAAGCTTCCATCACTTAGACATCAGGTGTGCAGCCTTTGTGCCGCAGTTCCATCTCCTCTGGGTGGAATAGTGCCTCTGTGTCTCCCCGGGCCCCAAAGGCCCCACTGAGCAAAGTGCCTCTAGAGGATTTCTGTGGGTTTTAACTGCCCAGCATCGATTCTTCCTCCTATGAATAACAGTATCTGGATTTTCCATTGGAGAACCACCACTCCCTCCACTTTCAGTCTGCATGGTCTGAATTGGCCTGACCCCATCCTCACTCCACAGGCAGGCCAGGCCAATCAGGACCACAGTGACTGGTTTAGGAATAGGTACATGACCAAGTTGGACCCATGGGAATCAGGTTATGCAATTTGGCTGGGACCATGCAAAAAGAGGAGTTTTTTTCTGGGTAGAATTTAAATCTAGAGCTGCTGGTGGTCAACATAGCAGCATAAGAAGAGATCCTGCCTCAGAAAGAAGCCAACACACCTAGTTGTGGAGGTCAGATGTGGAAATAAGGGCCACAATCCCATGTGCCATCTGAGGGTGTGTGGAAACAATCTGTTTGTCATGGACTCAAGCTCTGGCCTGCAGGAGGTGGTGAAGGAAAGCCCGAGGTGGAAAATAATGGATTAGAAATTCTAGTTGTCCTTTCTATAGACTTCTCTGTCACTGATCATTTATTTATTCATTCATTCATTATGCACAAATATTTACTGAGTGTCTACCATATGCCAGGTATTGGTGGTACACAGTGACAGACGCAGACAAAGGCCCTGCCCTGGAAAAACCCTGCCTTGTAGAGCTTTTATTCTAGTGAGGAACCCAAGTGGTGACCAGCGCTATGTTGAAAAAGAAATAGATCATAGTAGGGATAGAGAACGCAGGTGGAAGGAGTATGTTATTTTATGTAAGTCTCTCCAATTAGAAGTCATTTGAGCAAAGATATGAGGAAGTGAAGGAGCAAGACAGGCATTCATCTAGGGGCAAGTGTCCCAGACACAGGAGCAGAGATCTGACTCACACGTGCTTCTAATGTTCCCAGGCAGAGAGGCTGGAGCAGGGCGAGAGCAGAGGAGCAGGCAGAGAGGCTGGACGGGGAGCAGAGAAGGGGTGGGATGGAGAGCAGACCACCCAGGGCTTTTCAGACCATGGCGAGGACTTTACTCTGAGTGAGAAGCGGCCACCGGGGGGCTTTGTGGAGCAGTTTACCTTTCTTTTAAACATTTTATTTTTTTTCCTTTTTCTCCCCAAAGCCCCCAGGTACATAGTTGTATATTCTTCGTTATGGGTCCTTCTAGTTGTGGCATGTGGGACGCCGCCTCAGCGTGGTTTGATGAGCAGTGCCATGTCCGCGCCCAGGATTCGAACCAACGAAACACTGGGCCGCCTGCAGTGGAGCGCACGAACTTAACCACTCGGCATGGGGCCAGCCCCAGTTTACCTTTCTTAACAAGGGTCACCCTCACTGTGCCGGGAACAGACTGCAGGGGTCAAGGGTGGGGTAGCAGGCACTGCTAGTTCCCTGCCCCATATCCATTCGGCCCCTTCTTAAATCTAGCAGAATTTTGTCCTGGATTTTGTTCCATGTTGCAGTGCTCAACCAAGAAACTCAATTTTCTAGATTCCTTAGCAGCTAGGAGTGGTCAGATGAATAGATGTTTACTGGGAAGGCTATCATTTGCCTTATTTAAAAGATAGAGTCAACCCACATGCACCCTTTAACCTTTGCCCCTTCCCCCTTCCTGTCTGAAAGACAGACTGGATGCCTGGAGGTGTGGAAACCATTTTGAGACATAAGAGCAAGAGACGTATACTAAGGATCATGGAGCCAAAAGTCAAGAGCAGCCTGGGACATGGGTGACATAACAGACCTGCTGCCCAACCCTAGCCTTGACAATGCAGTGAAATTTCCCTGTGACCTTTCAGGTTCTACCCATCAGTTAGCAAGTACTTATGGACACCTCCTAAGATCAGGCTAAAGTGATAGAAGCAAGACTAAATAATTCGCCCAATTTTTTCTCTCCCAAAAAAGTCACAAGCAAAGATTCAGAGAACTTCAAGGGAAAAAAGTCAAATGTTTCCGGTTTGCTGGACCTTTTTAAGTTGTACGGCCTCAGAGGAAGCAGCAGCGTGTGCGTTGCTGCCGATTGTGGGTCCTGGGGGCAGAGAGAGGAAGGCTGCTCCAACCCCCATGAGAACTCTCTCTGGGGAGACGTTCATTGTCCTCTCCTCCTTGTAATTATGTCATCTCCTCAAAGGAACTCCCAGGCATCTAAGGAGAATTCTTTTCAAGGCCCCAGTGGAGACCCAGCCAGCCCTGGCGGGCTAGTGGTTAAGAGTTGGCGCTCTTACTGGGCAGGTCCTAGGTTCGTTTCCCTGTCAGGGAGCCGCACCACCCACCTGTCCGTTCTCACACTGTGATGGCTGTGTGTTGCTGTGATGCTGAAAGCTATGCCACCAGGATTTCAAATTCCAGCAGGGTCACCCATGGTAGACAGGTTTCAGTGGAGCTTCCAGACTAAGATAGTCTAGGAAGAAGGACCTGGCCACCCACTTCTGAAAAAATTGGCCATGAAAATCCTGCGAATAGCAGCAGAGCATTGTCTGCTGTAGCGCTGGAAGGGGAGAGGATGGCGCAAAAAGACTGGGCAGGGTCCGCTCAGCTGTACGCAGGGTCACTAGGGGTCAGTATTGACTGGACAGCACTAACAACAGTGAAAGCCCTCCCACAACCCCAAGACAGGAGGTCACCTCTACAGGCAGATCTTCTCCCAGATTCGGGTAGAGAGCCAAGGGGTGGGGGGTCAGCTGGGCTTCAACGTCTGCCAGGAAGGCCTTCCGTGCCCGCTGGGCTGGCGAGAGCTTGGACAACAGGGCGGCTTCCTTGGGCAGCTTGTTCCGCCTCTTCTTGGGGGCAGGTCGGGGAGCTCTGTGATAAATCTGGGGGAGCAAGCCCTCCTGAGGGCCCTGAGTGATCAGACCTTCGCAAGGCAGGCAGCCTTTCCTGAAGTCATCCAGTCCCTTTCTCACAAATATCCACCGCCGGCTGTTCAGGGTGGTGGGGAGCATCAGCCTGTGCTTGTGTTTTGTGAAACACTCAGAAGGCAGAGTCTCTTTGTACCTGGAAGACAACATGCCTGGTCATATGGGTCACAAGGGTTGGGGTGGGAGGAGAGGTTGTGAGGAGGCTGGCCTTGACCTTTCATGAGGAGGCGAGGTAGGAGTGATGTGGGGTCGGTGAGCCGAGGAGTCGAAAGAAAGATTTCTTGGACTCTCAAGATCTGGCAGTAGTGCTCTTTTTATTTAGAGAACAGTGTGGAATAGCATGGGGACAGGACCCATGGGCAGTCAGAGCTCCTGCTGCTGCCCTGAGTTGAGGGTTAGGGCTAATTTTATAAGGCATGGGTACGTGACTTATTTTTACTGGAAAAAGAAAAGATGATGTAAAAAGTCATTAAATGATTTCAGTGCAGATGGGGTCTGGTTATTGTGCGGTCATACAACTTTAGATACGAATCTGGTCATATAGATCGGCATGTAGGTGAGGATGCCCTGGGCTTCTCTCCCTGGGGCAGCCCTAATTCATACCATAAAAAAATCCACTGGGTCATATAGTTTGGTCACCTTGGGCTTCTGTAGCTGGGGCAGCCTTAATCCACATCAGGAGGACAGGGGTTCACGTGGAGGGGGTTGAGTTGATCATACTCCTAGTTCATGGCACATTATCACTGGTCTGTGCAAGGCCCCTCCCCTGTTTTCTGTATTCTACGTTAGCCCCATATCCCACTCTCATTGCTCTCCCTGCATAGGAGAAACTACTCTAAAGGATTTGAAATGTATCCTTTTGTTTGTATACATTGTTACAACATCTGTATTGTCCTCTTGTGTGCTTGTGTTCTTAATTTACATAAATTTCTTCTGTTTAGTACTTGTTTACCAAGCACAGTATTATAAAGGCCCATCCACGTCACTGTGTGCAAATCTAATCCATTATTACCAACTGCTGCCAGCACAGTTAATCTATCTATTCCCTTTGTGAAGGACACTCACAAATTGTGGCCCCTCCCGGGACTCTTTCTTATCCTTTAAAGGGACACAGTGCAGTGGGAAGAAATTGGATCCCAGTGACAACTCACCCCTAACAAGCTGAAAGACCTTGGCACTTCATTTAACCTCTGTGGGCCTCGGTTTACCCCCTAAACTCAGAGGGTCAAAGGTGGCCAAGTGGCAGTCTATGCGCTGCATTGGGCATACAAACCTGTCATGTTGTCCCCTTTGTGTTTCAATAAGAATCATAATAGCTAACATATGTCGAGAACTTTCTGTAGGACAGGCACGCTTCTAAGCGCTTTACATGTATTGTCATCTAAATCTCTTGACAATCCTATGACGTAGGTACTAGGTACTAGGATTATTCCCTTTACAGATAAGGAAATTGAAGCACACAGTAGTTAAAAACAAAACAAAGACTTGTCAAAGTTCCCACAGCTAATAAGTGTTAGAGCTGGGATTTTAATCCAGGTAGTGAGACTCCAGAGAAAGGTGTTTAACCACTACACTAGAGCTTCTTACATATAAAAAAGTTCACATGAATAATCGAGAAGAAAAATCAGGAGCTCTGGGAACAGTGGGTCCACCTTTCCGTGGATCTGTAATTGGTATAAAGGCTGCCCCTTTAGATAAGTCCTGTGCTTTCTTATTCACAGTCTCCACCTCTCCCTACTGCCTTATACCCAGGCTGCTTCACTCAGTTTCCTTATCCACCAGGTCCCTGTTTGCATTGAGTAGTTAGGGCATGAAGATGAGATGGGAGAGACAGATGGACAAATAGGAAGAAAAATGAGACCAGTTCCTGGATAACCTAATACATCCCGCCATTGCTAAAGTCAGGACCTGGACCTGAGCAGGTGAATCGCAGGTCTGTCGTTATCCTAATACATCACACTGCTGTAGTCAGATATTACTACATTATTGCTGTCTTTCCCTGAAGCCCCTTCCACCTCCAGGCCCTGTCATCTACAGTGGCTCATAACACCAAATGTACTCCTTGCTACACTCATCCTTATAGGCACAAAGCATTTTTCAGAGATCCTAGCTTGATCCCTATTCTTTTTTATGTCGTGGAAACTTCTTGCTTACTGTGTGTGCATGTGTGTGTTTTAAGGGCTTAATCCAGCTCTTCTGTGCAGATCTAGATGAAAAGACAAAAAAAGATGAGTTTACACAAAGTTGTTCTTTGCGATTAATAAATAGCTAAGTGGCGGAGGTGTTAATTGAAATTACATCTAACCTCGAGATTTGATGACCTGTTCAGCATGACCTACTAGCAAGCAACCCTCCATAGTATTAAATATCTTTACTAAGTTTATTTTCCACACATTTACAACTAATGCAAACATCCAAGCACTTCATAAAACCAAATCTGATAACCAATACTTTTGCTTCAGCACAGTCATACAACTCAAACTGGGGAATGTATGGCAGCCAGCTCAAGCCTCATGGAATGTTAGAGCTGGCAGAAACCCTGAAGGAAATCTAGTCTACCTTCCTCACTTTTCAATGAGGAAACTGAGTTCTGAGAGGTGAACAAGGCGACCAGGCCAGAGGGAGGGCTTCCCGCTACCCTACGTGGCCTCTCAGAGCTCTTCGACCTACCTCTCTGCATTTTCTCAAGTTCATGAAAAATTTTTACTTGACCTAGAAAATAAAACTGAAAACATTTTTTCTACAAATTTACTATTTTCACAGCCACTAGTAAACAATACATTTCCCTCTTTAAGAATTATGAAAGAAGAGCAGGTCCCATGGCCGGGTGGTTAAGTTCACACACTCTGCTTCCGCAGCCCAGGGTTTTGCTGGTTCGGATCCTGGGCGTGGACCCAGCACTGCTCATCAAGCCATGCTCAGGCGGCGTCCCACATAGCACCACCAGAAGGACCTACAACTAGAAAATAGAACTATGTGCTGGGGGGCTGTGGGGAAATGAAGAAGAAGAAAAAAAGAAGATTTGCAACATATGTTAGCTCAGGTGCCAATCTCTAAGAAAAAAAAACCAAATTATGAAAGAGTATTGGGTATTTATCCTAAAGAAATAAAAATTTCTGTTCACACAAAAACCTGTACACAAATATTCACAGCAGCTTTATACACAATAGCCAAAAACCAGAAACAGCCTGAAGGTCTTTCAACAGGTAAATGGATACACAAATTGTGGTATATCCATACATGGAATACTACTAAGCCATAAAAATGAAAAAACTATAGAGACACAACATCTTGGATAGATCTCAAGTGTTTCATGCTGGGTGAAAAAGAGCCAATATCAAAAGGTTGTATACTGTATTATTCTATTTATCTAACATTCTTGAAAGAACAAAACTATTGAAATAGAGAACAAAATTAGTGGTTGCTAAGGCGGCGGGGGGAGGGAGGGTGCGGAGAGTGACAATAAAGGGGTAGCAAGAAGTGTTTCCTTTGTGATGAAACAGTTTGTATCTTGCTGCATACATATGACAAAATTTTATAGAACTATACAGTGTGAAAATTAATAAACAGAAACCTCATTTAAAATGGAGTCAGGAAGCCCTGTAGTGGGAGCTCTCTCTCTCTCACACACACACACACACACACTCCATTGGTCACAGCTTTACAATTTGAGGCAGAAAGTGCAACTATCATACTTTACTACACCAGCAAGAGGAAGGAAGGTTTTCGCCTTGCCCTGCAACAGCCTAGCCAATCAGAAGCGCCACAGCTCAGCTCACTCTGAATTCTTACTTTCCTCCGATGAACAGTCCTTTAGAACAGCCCCTCCCAGCTCCCCCTTTTTCTCTATAAAAGCCAGCACCCCCTGTTTTGTTCTCTGGATTTGCCTATGGTCTGCCATAGCTTGCAGTTCCCCAGTCGCAGTTCCTCTGGCTATTCCTGAATAGACTCACTGTGCTGGCAAACTAACTGGACATTTTATTTTAAAGTTGACAACACACACACTCAAGTGCAAGTAAAAACTGATGAAATCCAAGTAAGGTTTACAGCCTAGTTAAATATTATGCAAATGTTGATGTCCTGCTTTGGTAATGTACTATAGTTAGGTAAGATGGTAGCACTGGAAGCAGCTGGGGGAAGGGTACATGGGACTTCTGCACTACTTTTGCACCTTCTTGGGAGTCTACAATTATTTTTAAATAAACAGTTTGAAAATTGAGGGGGCGGGAAGATTCTCAAAGCGTTCATAACTGCTAACATGTATACAGTGCATATATGTGCCAGTAACTAACTGCCTGGCCACCGTCACCAACTGGGTGGCCAAAGGTTCCAGGTGCAGCACACCCCTCACACCAGATGCAGGGATCCAGTTGACTAACCCAGAGAAGGATGGGTCGAGGCTACTTCAGTTTCCACGGAGGACTCTGTGGCCATCAGTTTCCTGTCTGGAATAGGTTTTTGTTTTTGTTTTTGTTTCGAGGAAGATTAGCCGTGGGCTAGCTGCTGCCAATCCTCCTTTTGCTGAGGAAGACTGGCCCTGAGCTAACATCCGTGCCCATCTTCCTCTACTTTATATGTGGGACGCCTGCCACAGCATAGCATGCCAAGCGGCGCCATGTCCGCACCCGGGATCCAAACCACCGAACCAGGAGCCGGCAAAGCAGAACGTGTGCACTCAACCGCTGCGCCAGCCCCTTGGAATAGGTATATTAATCCACATCCCCTGGGGAGTTGCGAGGATAACAGAGAAAAGTATCTGCGATGAGGAGCTTGAGGCGCTCGTTCTTTTATATTATAATCACTTAGATGCCGCGGACCTTGAGGAGGAAAGGCAGGCAGGCCCTATAGCCCGGTCCTCCCTGGCCGTCAGCCCTCCCCCGCCCCGGCCCCAGCCCCAGCCCCAGCCCCAGCCAGCACCGGGTCCAGGCGCCCCCGCGCGGCCCCCACGGGATACTCCGTCGCCCGGGCGCGGCGCGCTTACCGGGGCCTGCGGTTCATGCCTCCCGGCGCCCGGTCCAGTGCCGCTGGCCGGAGCAGCCGCCTGTGGTCAGCCATGGTGGGCCTGGCTGCCAGCCTCGCCTTGGGTGGTGTGTGTTCCCGGCCACTCGGGTCGCTAGGAGACCGAGTAGCTGTGAGCTGCCCAGACTCGCCCTGGGGTACGGAGCGGCGGGGCGCCCCCTGCACAGCCCGGCTTTTCCCGGGGATCAGGCAGCCCGGGGGCGCCCCTGCGCCGCCCATCCCCGGGCGCAGCCTAGCCTTCTCCGACGCCGGTAGCCGGGAAAGGGCGAAGGATTGGGTTATTGGTGTAACTACATTTTAACGGACTGGGAAGGCGGGTTCATCTTCCCATTGAAATTGACCGTAGGCTGGACCATGCTTTTTTGGCTTACTGTCGTTTCAAAAGATGTTTGTTGAAAGAAAGAAAGGAAGACGGCAGCCGGAGAGGTAGCAAGAGAAAGAGAGTAGAGACGGAGCGAAAGGAATAGACTGATTTCTAATGGTGGAAAGGCCTTTTAGCCAGGACTATTTTCCTGGAGGTCTTGGAACTCCCTGGGCCGCACCGCTTCTGTGAATCGAGGGCGGCTCGTTGGTATCTGTCTAATCACCCACCAGCTGGTGTCCACAGTCCCTTCCAGCTCCCGCGTTATTTGATTCTTTTGCCTCCACTCACTTCAGCAGTGAAATTACCATCCGGTTGGCCCCTGATATGCAGATGCCCACGTAAATGTGGACGCATTAGGATGCGTTTTGGTTTTGCCAAGTTCTCTTGCTACTTCTGTGTATTCCTGATTTAAATATTAAGCGTTGCTGCCAGAGGAAACAGCAGCCTAGCATTCTCCCGTCTCAAAATTATCGCGGTACAACTCAACAACAAAACATCAAACAACCCAATCAAAAAATGGGCTGGAGACATGAACAGACATTTCTCCAAAGAAGATATACTGATGGCCAACAGGCACATGAAAAGATGCTCATCATCGCTGATCATCAGGGAAATGCAAATCAAAACTACACTAAGATATCACCTTACACCCATTAGAATGACAAAAATATCTAAAACTAATAGTAACAAATGTTGGAGAGGTTGCAGAGAAAAAGGAACCCTCATACACTGCTGGTGGGAATGCAAACTGGTGCAGCCACTATGGAAAACAGTATGGAGATTCCTCAAAAAATTAAAAATAGAACTACCATACGATCCAGCCATCCCACTACTGGGTATTTATCCAAAGAGCCTGCAGTCAGCAATCCCAAAAGTCCTATGCACCCCAATGTTTATTGCAGCATTATTTACAATAGCCAAGACATGGAAGCAACCTAAGTGCCCAGCAACAGACAAATGGATAAAGAAGATGTGGTACATATATACAATGGAATACTACTCAGCTGTAAAACAGAACAAAATCATTCCATTTGCAATAACATGGATGGACCTTGAGGGAATTATGTTAAGTGAAATAAGCCAGCGAGAGAAGGATAATCTGTGTATGACTCCACTCATACGAGGAATTTAAAATTATGGACTAAGAACAGTTTAGTGGATACCAGGGGAAAGGTGGGGTGGGGCGTGGGCACAAAGGGTGAAGTGGTGCACCTACAACATGACTGACAAACATTAATGTACAACTGAAATTTCACAAGATTGTAACCTATCATTAACTCAATAAAAAAAAAAGAAAAAAAAATTATCGCGGTAGTTAAATTGTCCTATATGGTAGGATAATTTTCGTAGTCATTTAAAGACGAGCCTTCTCATCTTCAAACTCTCCCGGAGTAAATTAGCTTCACCTTTGGGAATCTATTAAACATCAGGATAGTATTAAAGTGCCCTGACTGGTACTAGTTCCAGCATCTTCACTTGCTGTGTGTGTTCAGCCACCTTTTCTGCTCAGTGGAGAGCCCTGGAGTCCCACCGCCTGAGATGAATCCTGGCCCTGCCACTTAATTATGCACCACGGGGCACAGTTACGTTTTTTAGGTTCATTGATTTCCTAGTCTGAAAATGGGGGAAATAATAGTGTCTGCCTATAAGCTTATTGGGGGATTCGATGAGATAAGGACTGTAAAGCCCTTAACACAGGGCTGGCAGTTAAGAATCCCTCAATTACTGCCGAGAGTTACTATTACCTCAGCTGTGAACTGGGGATAGTAATATTTGCCCTGCCTACTTCACAGCATTGTTACACGAGTCAGTCAATGGAGAAAACCACAAATGAAATCATTATAAGGAGCCTGATTAGTTGTTTTTAATTTTTTTATCTTTTTATTACTCTCTCTGATAATATCTTTGATATTAGTTTGTTTGGTTGCCAATTCAAGCTTTTATTGCTTTGAGGAAGTAGAGTTTTTCCATAAGACAGAGGGTCAGGATCATGTCCATCTTGCTTCTACTACTGTGCCTGGCACGCCACACAGTTGGTACTCATTCAGCAAATATTGTCTGTGATGGCCACGCTGGGCTCTAGGGACGCAAAGGAGAATAAAACAGGCTTGATCCTTGTCACCTTGGTAGTTAGTTTCTAGTGTTTACTGCCTGAATTAATAAGAAACCACCTAGTTTCATGACTTTTGCATTCTCACAATTTGATATTTGCTCCAGGTAGTGATTTTGACTCCAAATCTGGTAGCAGATAACTAAGATTCTTTTTATTTCACCACATTTCCTACCTTGATTATAGTCATTACTCAGGGAATCTCTCATTCTCTCTCTCTTTCTCTTTTGCAACACAAAGATAAAATGTGTTACATGTAGTAATCTAATGAGTAGATGTTATTGAAGAGTGAGGATGATGATGTTCCAGGTGTTCTTCGAGCCTTATTGCCTGGTAGTGTGACCACTTCATTTCCAAATAGGATTACTCAAATATAGCCATAGCAGGGTTGCCGAACACGATTACCGCATCTTTCCCACTCAAAGACTAATTAATGTCTCTGTAGCCTTTTACTATGTACTCAGCAATACTTAGTTCATGGTACTTTCCAGAAAAAAAGCATTTGAACAACAAAACAACAGAACTTTAAGCTGAGAAATTATAGCATGGTCTTGGATTGGCAGAAACCCTTGGCATCTGGACAGAGTGTCACAGTCATCCCTGCAGGACTACAGTGAGGCTAGACAAGCGCCTCTCAGGCCAGTTCTCACAGAATTTCTACAGACAAATTCACAGTGGACATGTGCTCACCAACAAAAATAGCAAAATCCCTGAGGACACAAGGCACAATGACTAAGACACAGCCGAACCAACAGAGAACAGAATCAGATCTTCAGGGACTTTATGTATTGGATGTTTGGATACAGAACATAAATAAATATGGTTAGTTATGTATAAATATATGTTTATGTACATAAAATAAGCATGTTTAATGCATTTAGGAAATAGAGGGAACTGGAAATATGAACAAAGTACAAGAAACTATTTTTTAAAGATAGATCTGAAAAAGAACCAAATAGAACTTACAGAAATGAAAACTATAATCATTACAATTTAAAACTCTGTGGAATGGTTAAACAATAGATTAGACCAGCTCAAGAGAGAATTAGTAAACTAGAGACAGCTTTAAATGCCCAGGATACAGCACATAGAGGTAAAGAAATAGAAAATAGGGAAGAGAAGAGACATGAACATATGGAGTAAAGAATGAGCAAACCTAACATACACTTTTTTTAAGTAAAGAAAAGGGTGGAATTTAATTTTTACTCACAGGACAGTGCAAGATATGCAATTCCATACAGAAATAAGAAATCCTTGGAGAGGGGAAGCTTCATGCAGTATGTACAGTTTGGAACTGTTCAAGTGGAGTTTCATTGTAAAAAATGCTATAGTAACAAACCACATTTAAAGAGTTCTTAGTAGAGAAACAGTAAGACAAATTTATACTAAACATAGTATACAGCAACCAACCTTATGCCTCAGCTGTACAATCTAAAAGTGCGGGAGCGCCAGCCTGAACTTGGAATGTAGCCTTCAGAGGTCGTTTCTGGCACTACATTTTGAACTTTCTCTTCCCCTACAGAAAAATACTTCTCCATCCAGCTGAATGAAGCTTTGTACACAGACTAATTTTCATGGTTTTGCAGAGTTTCAATTTTGCCCAAACCTCCACATTCTTCAATCATTATACTAAGTGTCTCAGTTTCGCTTAGTTTCTCAGCAGCCTGAAGATATTTGAAACGGCATCCAGAATAACCAGAATAATTTTGGTTATCTTTCACGGTTTAGAGTTTCAACAGTGGTTGTATTATGCCCCAGTGAACGAGGTATACAATCCGTCCAACTGTTCTGCCACTTGCATGGTTGATCACAGCCCATACAGTTTTATGTCTTAAAGTCTGCCTTAAAGAGAACACCAGCAAGGAATGGCACTAATCCATGATTCTCAACTTGCTGTATCTGGTGCTGGCGGCCAGCTGTGATGTTTGACATTGTCCACATAGCCGCCTTCTGAATGTTAGTTTTGAGGTTCATTAGCAGCCTAGGAAAGACAACTACGTGCTTCTACGTCTATTACAACCCGAATCTGTTCATCTGTCCCAGTGGTAATATTTCCTACAGCTCTTAGCGCAGGAGTCACAATTGGCAATTCAGTAGCTCCTAGAAGCTTCATAAATTGGGGCACAATTCCTGTTTTCATGACCATTTCAGTCTATTCATTTGGACCCTCAGTAAGGTAGGAAATGGCCCAGGAGGTATCTAATACTTCTGGATCATCGTGATGCAGGAGACAAAGTAAAGTAGGAAGAATTTGCTCAACCACATCTAACGGGAGTGCAGACTTCTCGTTGCAACAAAGATTTGAAATTGTCCAGATAAGATTACCTAAGATTACCATATGCTAAAGATGACATCTTAGGAGCTGCAAGAGCCAACAGTGGATCAACTGTACCATACTTGATAACCAGGTCTCAGAAAACAGAACTATCACCTGCAGTGTTCCTAGAGTCCATACAGCTTGTTCACTAATGGGAGCATGGGGAGATGCCAACAGAGAAATGAATGCTGGGATAGCACCTCCATCTACCACAGCCTTGCTCGGTTCTGATTTCCCAGAAGCAATGTCAATGAATTAGCGTCCTCTTTGGTGGACATGGTTATGAGACAAAGGGAGAAAGCTACACAGCTGGCTTAGACTTCCACAGGAGGCAGTGTGGGGCTCACAGGCTGCAGGTCAGCTGCCCCCAAAATCTCTACCACAGCTCAGCCCAAAGATGGTGTCCTAACATACTTCTAATCGTATTTCCATAAGAGGATGGG